ATTCAATATCAAGTTGAAAAATCACATCACACTGGCGAATTTTTTTTTTCTTGAAATAAGAAATCCTGTTTAATGAGACTGGATTCTTGAGCCTGCCTTTGCATCAGAATTACCCCGGCACTGAGAAAAACAAAAACAAACCAAAATAAAACCCCACTGACTCATGGGCCCTACCTGTGATAATTAAAGACCTACAGTAACACTGGCTTACTTACACATGATAGGAATTGATTTCTCTCTCACATAAATGACTCTTGGAAGGCAGAGTAGCAACTCTGCTCGAGGAGGGCTTTGGGGACCAGGCTCTTTACAGCCCTCTATTCTGCTATCCCTAAGGCATGACCTTTGTCCTCGTGGCCCAGGATAGTGGTTAGACTCCAGCTGTCACAGCTGTTCCAGGCAGCAAAATGGAGGAAGGGACAAAAAAGAAACCGGCAGAGGAAGCACATCAGGTGACTTCTAAGGGAGGGTCCCCAAAGCTGCCATGGGATGCTCCTCTGCACCTCCCATTGTCTAGATCTCAGTCCCATGTTCACAACTGGATGCAAAAGAAGCTGACAAATGTATTGCGTATTGTGAGCAGCCCCATGCTCAGCTGAAAAATTGAGAAGTGCATTACTCCCGAAGAAGAAAAACACTGGGGGACAGCCAACAGTCTCTGCCAAAACACGCAAATGAACAACTGTCTAGGCCTTGGCAGACTTTGGGAATCCAGAGGCAGTTGTGGTTTGGTTGGAGAAGGTTTTGCCCTAGCCACCCTAAGGATTTCACATTATGGCCAGAATTAGCAACTGCCTCCTCTTAGAGGAGGTGGGATAACCGTGACTACGGCAGAAGAGCTAGATTGTGCCAGCTCAGCTCGCCTTATCAGACGCATTCAGGCTCTCATTCTGCTCAGCTCTTTAAGTTTGGTGAAAGAGAATAAATAAATATTACAATTGACATGCCCTGGAACACTGTAGACAAGAATGAAAAAGTCCTCTTCATCTCTTACGTTTCTCTCTGTCAGAATGTTAGACCAAAAAAAAAAAAAAAAAAAAAGTACAAAGACAGACAAAATGAAATCTTTGTAAAATTTTGGTCCCATCGGAGATACCAAACTAAAGTAAAACTTCCCCTTTACTTTCATCAACTAACTCTTGGTTAGAAAGATACTTATAGCAATAAACAGAGGAAGGAGTTTTTGATTTGAAAACAATACTGGGTGTTGCACAGCTCTAGGGGGTGCTGTTCTCATTATTTCTATGTGAATGGCCCACCTCTTGGAACACAGTATGAGTGGTGTCCTACTAGGAAGCAGTGCAACTTGTCAATCTCAAAATCATAAGCTCGCAAGATAAGCAGTTGGCATTGGTAGTCCCAAGAATAATCAAAGACTTTTCTGTTCTTGCAGAAAGCTGTTTTGGGTCCAGAGGACTTCTTTTCTATTAATCTCATCAATGGCTACCAAGAAGAGTCAGTCAATCTAGTCAGTCTACAGTGTTTCTGATTTCTAGGTGTCTATTTTAAAGACAAATGGAAGACTCTAGAAATATCAGGTTCCTAACTGCTTTGGAGTATGATTTGCATACATAATTCTGAGACATGATTAATCAGGGGAGTCAGGATCCCACACTTTATCTCTCTCACGCACACCTGTTCTTGCTGGAAGTGAGTAAGTAGATAACAACCACAGCTGCACAGTGGCTTTACTGATTTAAGGAACACTGTTAGTCTCTCCTTTAAAGCTGGAGTATTACGGCAAAGCTTCAAGGGTGCTTCTAATACATAGTTCTCGTCAGAGTCAATTACCATTAGAACACATTTTTAAAATGTCATTCAGAAGCTTTTTTTTTTTTTAAGATTTTATTTATTTACTTGACAGTCAGGGATCACAAGTAGGCAGAGAGGCAGGCAGAGAGAGAGAGAGAGAGAGGAGGAAGCAGGCTCCCGGCTGAGCAGAGAGCCCAATGCGGGGCTCGATCCCAGGACCCCGAGATCATGACCAGAGCCAAAGGCAGAGGCTTTAACCCACTGAGCCACCAAGGCACCCCAGAAGCTGTTTAAAAAAAAAATAGAGTTATCAATAACAACAACAACAAAATAACCCTTTGAAGCAAGTACATTTTCAGGATGAAATAGAATATCCTGGACAGATTTCATCATGTTACCCACTGTTGTATGTAGGACCCAAGAAATTAATATTAGTTTTGCCTCTTTGATATAAAATAAAAATAAATTAACTCCTATTTCTTCTTCCTATATTATATAATGTTAATCTTTAAAACCTTTATTGGGTCACAGACACTTTTGAAAATATGTAATATATGGGACCTCTTCTAAGCAATATACTCATATACATATACACAAACATCAGCATCAGATTTCAGGGATTTAAAAAAAAAATTTTTTTTAAAGATTTTATTTATTTATTTGTCAGAATGAGCACAGGCAGACAGAGTGGCAGGCAGAGGCAGATGGAGAAGCAGGCTCCCGCTGAGCAAGGATCCCGATGCGGGACTCCATCCCAGGATGCTGGGATCATGACCTGAGCCGAAGGCAGCGGCCTAACCAACTGAGCCACCCAGGCGTCCCTAAAAAAATTTTCTTAAGAATTGTGTTTATCTGAGAGAGAGACAGGAAGAATGAGAGAGAGAGAGAGAGGGAGAAAACATGAGTGGGGGGGGGCAGTGGGAGAAGCAGACTCCCTGCTGAGTGGGAAGACTGATGCTTCCGGGGCTCTATCCTGGGACTCCAGGATCACGACCTGAGCCAAAGGCAGATGCCTAACTGACTGAGCCACCCAGGTGCCCCAGATTTCAGGGATTTTTGACTCACGAATTCTATTCATAGACACTCTAGTTTCAAAGGCCCAATCTTGAGGGTAGTGGAGGGCGAAAATGAGTTTTAAGAACTCAAAATCCACTCAGGGTCTAAAGAAGAAATGGTGTGTGTTGTGTGTGTGTGTGTGTGTGTGTGCACATGCATACACAGGCCAGTCCTTTAACACTCATTTGAAGGTATGTCATTTTGCAGACAAAGTTTACCACTTCCTGAAATTTTTTTTATTTTCTTTCATTTCAAGGACCAATTTATATAAAATCCAGCAATACACAATTTAAAAATGATTCTAAATTAAATTCAAGGCACACTCCAGAGGTTTTTTTTTGTTTTTGATAATGGAAAACTTATGCTATATTCATTCAAATTTCCTCTATCAGAACTTTTGATAATTTTGCTTGGATTCGCAGGAGAAAATAGTTCATTTACAACACCCTGAAGGACAAGCTGAGTCCATTTGTTTACTTACTTATTGACAATTTTGAGTTATAATTCACATACTATACAATTTACCCATTTAAAATTGTAGAACTCAATAGTTTTTAGTAGATTCACAGTTATGTAACCATCACCGCAATAATTTCAGAACATTTTCATCAACCCAGAAAGAAACCAGTCCTCATTAGAGCCCTCCCCATTACCTAGCTCCTACTGATTCCAGCCCTAGGCATCCTCTGATCTGCTTTTTGTCTCTATAGATTTGCCTATTTCCCATAAATTTCCATACAATGTATGGCCTTTTGTGATTGGCTTCTTTCAGTTAGCATAAAATTTTGAAGGTTCGCCATGTCATAATATATCTCTATACTTACTTTATTTCTTTCGATGACCAAATATTCTATTCCATGGCCATTCCACACTTTGTTCATTTGTTGATAGAGCTTTAGCTTGTTCCCAATTTGGGGCTATTATGAATAATACTGCTATAAACATTTGTGGACCAGTTTTTGTGTGGACCAGCCCCTCAACTTTTAACCCCACAAAAAAGTAAAAAGAGAAGAACTCTTATAACAAAACTATTCAGAATCTGTTTTGCAGTAATTTCAGACTTTTCAAGATTCAACAATTTCCATACCCAGCATCACAAAGGCTCATCATGGCAGGGAGACTGGCATCATGACTCTATCATAGAATCAGAGGAAGTTAGACATGCTTTTTAAGGTAAGATCCCTTCTTACATGAAGTCAACAATGGCTACTTTCTGTTACTTCTCCATGCATAGAAAAGAATGACAGATTGTGGACATCCCCAGGTCCCCAGGAAGTTACAACAAACATTGCTGAGCCCCTTGCAAAGCAGCAAGCACGATTTGCACAAATAACAGCACCGTGGACAGAAGTCATACACCGAGTATAGGCTGCCAAGCTACTCTGAAGCACTCAACACCCTCACTACTCCCACCCGGGTTCTGCCTACAACGTTAGCACTGTTAGGCCTTTGACACCTTGCCTCTCTTTCTGGTTACTCCCTCTGCCTCTCCATGGGTGATGTTCCCTACTCACTCACAGAGACCCTCCCTGCTGATTCGAGCCTGCCAACTAACTCCGCTCCATCTTTGAGACTAGGGGCTAAACTTCACCACAGCTTTCCCTGCTGAATTCATGCCCCCTCTGGATTCTGGGTTTGCCAAGTGCTGTGCAAAATGGTCAGGAGCTGCAGAGTGAAGGTTTGTTAAAGGGCCCGTAAGTTTTCCTATCAGTGCCGTGTGTGTGAAGTGGAAAGGGGTCAAAATGAATTTATGACTTAGTGGCATTTATCAGGGAGTCATTCTGTTTTTTTTTTTAAAGATTTTATTTATTTTTTATTTGACAGACAGAGATCACAAGTAGGCAGAGAGGCAGGCAGAGAGAGAGAGAAGGAAGCAGGCTCCCTGCTGAGCAGAGAGCCCGAAGCAGGGCTTGATCCCAGGACTCTGGGATCATGAGCTGAGCCGAAAGCAGAGGCTTTAACCCACTGAGCCACCCAGGCACCCCAGGGATTCATTGTTGACATTTCCAACAATCAAAGCACTTGGAAACTTCAACTTAATCCTGAGTTTCTCTCCTTAGCTATTATGGTATTGACACAAGTTTATTCACTGGGATCAAAATGATTTATCCAATAAAGATAGACTCAGAGGCATAGGAAGCACATTCCTAAAGATTTGATCCATTAGAATAATCAGACAGAAGACACAAAGAGAAGGTTCAGCTGCTTTGTATTTCAGAGCAATCTTACTTTGGATCTTTTGATTTAATATCAATGAAATTCCATGAGCATTTCCTGATGCAAGCACATGAGTCATAACCTGGAAGGCTGAATCACAGTCTACTGCTAGGGGGTCCTGCTAACCTCTGCCATTCTTTCAGAGGAGGGTTGCCCAGGTAAGCCAATTTTTTCAGATAGTCACAAGGCTCTAGTTGTGGAATATCAGGATTCTGCCTATAATATTTCTGCAACTTCTCTAGCACTGTGGGCAATCCCACTGTGGAGGCATAGAACATGGGCCCACCCTTGTGCCTTGGCCATCCGTACCCATGTAAATAGACAACATCGATGTGCTCTGGAGTGGCAGCCATCCCTTCTCCCAAGATACGGAATGCTTCATTGATGAGTGAATACAAACAGCGCTCGAGGATCTCATCCTGGCTAATGACACGTGGCTCAATGTGATAGGTTTGCCTGTACTGTGACAGGAATTCAGAGAGCCAGGGGTCAGGTTTGTGAATCCTACCCAGTGGCTTATCATATTGATACCAACCCTTTCCTGTCTTCTGGCCAAACCGTCCTGATTCACAGAGCATATCAGGAATTGGGCAATATCTCTCGCTGCCTCGCTTTCGGGCAGGCGTTCCTGAAGGCAACATAGGTCCCGTAAGACCTTGCCCTTGTCGAGATTTCCACCCCACATCCAGTCCAGCAAGATCTGACACTCTAAAAGGTCCCATTTTGAAACCAAACTCTTCCAGCACCTGATCTATCTCCTCTGGCTTACCGCCCTCTTCCAATAAGAAATATGTCTGATTGTAATAAGGCTTCAACATTCGATTGCCAACAAATCCAAAACAGTTACCTACAACTACTCCAATTTTTTTAATTTTTTTTGATAAATTCATAACTGTGGCAATGGTAGTAGGGGAAGAGTACTGGCTGGGGATAATCTCTAACAACTTCATGATGTGAGCTGGTGAGAAGAAGTGAGTGCCAATGACCAAGTGAGGGCGATCAGTGGAAGAAGCAATATCGTCAATGTTCAAGGCTGAAGTATTGGTGCACAGAAAAGCTTCTGGCTTGCACACAGCTGATAGTTCAGCAAAGACCTGCTTCTTCAAGTTAATTTCCTCAAATACTGCTTCGATGACTAAATCTACACCACCTAGCTCCTTCAGGGATGTGGTTAACCTGGGTTTTGGTCCTAACCAATGGTGGCTGCTGGGCTGCATTTTGGATGCTTCCTTTTCCAAGAGGGAGGTTATTATCTGATCAGCAGTCTCTAGCTGCTTCTTGTCCAATTCCACAGCAATCACAGGGATCCTCGCCTTTGCAAGAGCAGTGACGATGCCTCGGCCCATTGTTCCCAAGCCTGCAGATGAGAGTGAAGAGGAAGAAGAATGGTTCAGTGATATTGGGAACTGAAAAATTACTCAGTAAATGGGAGGCTTCTGTGGCAACAGGGCATTTAAAGAGATCGATGCGAGGAATACAAATGGACTGAATATTAGTTAAGATTAGGCTCTGTGTTAAATGCTCCAGAGGATGTGACATTGAGTAATATTCATGAGCGCACACACACGCACACACACACACACAATATTAGGATTGATAAACAGTTCAGCAAGGTTGTATAATACAAGATCTATATATAAGAATCAATTGTATTCTGTATACTAGCAATGAATAATCAGAATATGAATTAAGAAAACAATTCTACTTATACCACTTCTACTTCTACTTATACTTATTTTTATTAAAAAAATAAAGTACTTCAGAATAAATTTAAGAAAGAATTGGAAGACTTGTAATGCTAAAACCCACAAATCATTGCTGAAATAAAGAAGATCTAATAAAGAGATATACATCCCCTGTTCTCATAGATCAGGAGACTTAATATTGTTAATATGGCAATACTACCCAAGCCGATCTCAACCACCAATGCAATCCTTATCAAAAATTCAACTGGCTTTTTGCAGAAATCAACAAATTAAATTAAGCTGATCCTAAAATTCATACATAAATACAAGGAATCAAGAATCACCAAAGACATTATTAAAAAAGAAGAACAAAGTTGGAGGATTGACTCTTCCCAATTTAAAAACTTAAGACAAAGCTACAGTATTCAAGTATTCAAGTGTGGTATAAGGGTAGACCTATAGAATTGAGAGTCCTGAAATAATCTCGTAACTGTGGCCAACTGGCCAAGATAATTCAATGGGGGAAGAATAGTCTTTTCAACAAATGATGCTGGGACAGCTGGGTATCCACGTGCAAAAGTATGATGTTGGAATACTGTGCACCATATACAAAAATTAATTCAAAATGGATCATGGACTGAAGTAGGAGCTAAAACCATAAAACTCCTGTGAGTAATTCTCCATGATCTTGGATAAGACAATGGTTTCTTATGACATCAAAAGCATAAACAACAAAAACAAAAAACAGATTAATTAGATAACATCAAAATCAAAAAATTTTTGTGCTTCAAAGGATACCATACAGAGAGTAAAAAGAACCCATGGAATCATCTATCTAATAAGGGACTTGTATTAAAATATATAAACAATTCTTACAACTCACAATAAAAATATGATTTAACTTAAACATTTTTTCTGAAGAAAATACACAAACGGCTAATAAGCAACGAGAAGATGCATCCTTAATCATGAAGGAAATGCAAATCAAAACCACCATGAGCTACCACTTCACACCCATTAGGAGAGAGATCATTAAAAAGAGAGATGTACAAGTGAGGATGTAGTGAACTTGAAATCCTGACGCACTGCAGGAAGATTATAAATCTTTTCCCCAGACTGGGGAAGGGAGAAGGAAAGGGAGTATTACTTTAAGCAAAGGCAAGAAGAACAGAACATGTAGACAAATTATTTGATGGCTAAGATGTTACTGTTCCTTCCCCTTACCATTTCATTTTTCTTCTTGGCACAAGGAAAACTATTCTAGATCCTTTATTTTTTTAAAGATTTTATGTATTTATTTGAGAGAGACACACAGTGAGAGAGAGGGGACACAAGCAGAGGGAGTGGGAGAGAGAGAAGCAGGTTTCCTGCCACACAGGGAGCCTGATGCGGGGCTCGATCCCAGGATCCTGGGATCATGACCTGAGCCCAAGGCAGATACTTAATGACTGAGCCACCCCTGTGCCCCTATTCTGGATCCCTTGTATCCTGATAGGGCCTGTGAGTATTTCCAGTCAATGAAATGGGAAAGGAGCATAGTGTGGGATCATGATTGGCGCCCAGAACCTCCCACAAGATCCTTGATTACTTCAGGGGTGTAGAGGCTGCAGAGAACAACTGTGAGGCCTTGGAGGAGACCCTTGAGCAGGTGTTGGCAAACTAGGGTCTGTGTGCCAAATCCATCCCACCGTCTATTTTTGTACTACCTATGAGCTACGGATGGTTTTGCATTTTGAATAGTTGAAAAAAGAACAAAAACAAAAACAACAATATTTTGTGACACATGCAAATTATCTCAAATTCAAATTTTAGTCTCATAAATAAAGTCTTACTGGAGCACAACCACACTCATTTGTTTCCATATCATCTATAACTGTTTTGTGTGCAGAGTTGTTTTGGTGCTGCAAAAGAGATCATACAGTCCAGAAAGCCTAAAATATTTACCATATGGCTCTTTAAAAAAAAGTTTACTAATCCTTGTTCAGGAGAATGATAGTCATTACTTAGAAAAAACCTGTCCTAGAATGGCCTTATAGAGCAAGCAGGAAATAAATCTTTATTGTGTTAAGCCACTGAGATTGTTATCTGTTACAGCAGCAAGTTATCTGTTACCTCATCAACCCATTGTGGATGAAACCGTTTTGTGAAAACTATTTATATATTATTCTTCTGTACTTCTCATTGACTAGCTTTGGGGATTGGTTGGTTTTGTTTTGTTTTTTGGGGGATTGGTTTTGAATACAGAACGTTATCAGACATCAGAAATCCTTGTTTCTCTGGAATATATTTAAATTTCAAACTGTATTAATTTATTTAATGTAATAAATATATTAAATTAGTTAAAAACATTTAATTTTCCAAAATTAATAAACATCTGCATTTCACTCAGTAGCCAGAAGGCTGGATAGCTCTCGCTGCTATAGCAACTTGTATCCAAAACTTCGGCCTGGGTAAAGGGTTCAAATGGTTTCAAAACCCTGGCCTCCTAGCTTTCAGTCCCAAGCCTCACATACAATTTTTAAGAGTATAGAAATTATAATCTCTCAGAGACAATGAGGACTAACAAGATGTAACGTGAAAATACTTTGTAAAGTGTCACATAAGGTAGGCGGGATCCCAGAAAGGACCACAGAGCAGTGAAGAAAAGGCACCTGGGAGGGTCAAGCACAGTTCTTCCACATTCACCTCGTGGAGCGGACCTGAATGACCTGGAATCCAAATCACGAAGTGGACCAAACTAATGCTTTTTGCAAGTGTCCCAGCCATAACTTTAGATTCTCTTCAGCTCTATAAACGGACACATTTCATTTAATCACTGAAACAATAAAAACATGAAAACACAATGTATATTTATTTCAGAAAGTTCTTAGCTCTGGGCACCTGGGTGGCTCAGTCGGTTGGGCAGCTGACTCTTGGTCCTGGCTCAGGTCATGATCTCAGGGTTCTGCGATGGAGCCCCACATCAGGCTCTGCACTCAGCAGGGAGTCTGCTTGAGGTTCTCTCCCTCTCTTTTTGCCCCTCCCCCTGCCCACACACACACACTCTCTCCCCTCTTCTCTTTCACCCAAACAAATAATTAAATTGTAAAAAAATATAAATAAATAGTTCTTAGCTCCTAATTTCTCTTCTCATGAACTTGTGGTCTCAAAGATCTCAAAAAAAGGGGGGAGCCTGAAAAACCAAGATTTTCATTGTTGATAGTTATGTATCCAAAGGTGCATACTGTATTTATACTGAATTTAGTTCCCTAATTTTTCCTCATTAAACACATGGAGGGGCAAGGGGTCCTGCTTCCCTAACAACTCATTGTCTTTAACTGCCAAGGAATTAATTCTAGTCAAGAACCTCTTCTATTGACAGAAGTAAAGAAAGAACAAAGGATGCATTCATTGAAGGTGCTGCTGTTTTGGTCAACTGCAGTCTTCTCCCTTTTGGATGGCTTTAGAGCTCAGGCAAGGAGGGGGGACATGAACTTGCAGTAGTGCTGACCTTTCTGAGAAGCCTGGAAATGGGCTCATGGAAGAGCACACTTGGGGTTTTGCCAGGGGCAGAGTGAAAGGACAGTAACTCATGGAGTTGGAGGGCACTGACAAGAGAGTGGATGAAGGGATGACCCTGGAAGTGAAATTTAGAAAGAGAAGAAAGTAAAGATAAGGAGAGCTGATCAAGTAATGGATATAGCTGGAACAAACAATGAAGAGATGTGGGAAGATACAAGGTTGTGGGGGAAAGGTCAGAATTTGGACTGCAGACGTGGAGATACATTAGGGTATAGGCAAGAGCCAAGGAAAAGTCCTAAGTAGGGGTCACGGGAAGTGAAGTGAGGTGAATGTCACCGGATCTGAGGAGGCAAAGGCACTGGAAAGCAGCAGGGCTGGATGCATTGTCCACACAGACGATGGCAACAATCGGGGTGACAGCAAGATTTGGGGGAAAGTGGATAAGTGTGAGCCAGCCAAATTTTTCAGCAAATGGGTGGTAGGAGTAATGGCAGTAACAAGGAGGGAGAGAGCCATCAGATCAGGTGGCAGAACCACGGAAGAGTGTCCTGAAAGACACAATGGTCTGGGAAGGGAATTGGGAAGAGATGCGGGCAGGTTGGGAGGCAGGGCGTGGACTGTGAAAGAAGCAGCAGCATTTTTCTGAGAGGGTCACAGAATAAGTGGGTGCCGGAGTAAGCCGGGTCTCAGGCAGGAAGCAGATCAGGCTGTAGGAGTGTTCCAGAGGGCACAGGGAATAGTGGGAGGCTGCATCACAACGACGATCCAGTGTGGAGCAGTATGGGGATAGACACGATGACGAAGGGGGAAATAACCAAACTCTCTCACTTTTATTTTTTTTTAAAGATTTTATTTATTTATTTGACAGACAGGGATCACAAACAGGCAGAGAGAGGAGAAAGCAGGCTCCCCGCCGAGCAGAGAGCCTGATGCTGGGCTCGATTCCAGGACCCTGGGATCATGACCTGAGCCAAAGGCAGAGGCTTTAACCCACTGAGCCACCCAGGCGCCCCAAACACTCTCACTTTATTTGTATCCAAGTTATCTTCCGTGGATTTTTAAATGCTTTTTCAAATATTTTTCTGAACAATATGGGGTGTACTTAAAAAAACAAAACCAAAAACTTTTAGATATTTCATGCCGGACATGAATTGGAAATCTTTTTTAAAAGGCTCACAACAAGGAAATAGGGAAATTCTCAAACAACAGCTGATGAACTCAATATCGATAAATTTCGTCTTTGTTGTTATATTGCATCAATTATCCTTGGCTTGAAGGAATATAGAGAAGAAACAGAGTAAGTGCACAACTAGAAACAAGTATTGGTGCTGCTGAAAAAAAGCACAAAAAAGAAACATTCATAGTTCTCTGTCACACTCTCTATCCACCTCCTTTAAAAATCACAAGTGAGGGGCGCCTGGGTGCAGTCAGTTGAGCAGCTGCCTTCGGCTCGGTTCATGATCCCAGGGTCCTATGATCCAGCCCCGTGTCAGGCTCCCTGCTCAGCTGAGAGCCTGCTTCTCCCTCTCCCTCTGCTGGCCTCTCTGCCTACTTTGTTCTATCTGTCTGTCAAATAAATAAAATCTTCTAAATAAATAAATAAATAAATAAATAAATAAAAATCACAAGTGAGTGGGGGGGATGGCGTACCTGGGGGTTGGGCATTAAGGAGGGCACATGATGTGATGAGGACTGGATGTTATATGCAACTGATGAATCCCTGAACTCTACCTCTTAAACTACTAATACAGTATAAGTTACTTTGTTGAATTTAAATAAAATAAAATAAATAAAAATCACAAGTGAACAGAGTCAATGCTGGAAAGATCACAGTGTGACTGATACGGTAGACTGAGAGGATGCAGCGTGGGCTCTTTCCCTCCAAACTGGATTGTTGCTAGACAGCAGGGTGAGGGTTCAGAAGGTTGACACTTTATTGTAAACTATGGACTCCTCCCTTGGAAGACTGTACATCAGCTGACACATATAACATTTTGCTCACCATTTCATGGGGTTTAAAATCCACCAAGACCATTCTTGGGTGGTCGATACTAAGAACAAGAGAAGCTTGGGAAAGTAGCTCAAAAAAGCCAATCAGAGGGCTAGCTTCTGAGGAAAGAAGACATTTTGTTTGGGAAAATCCCAGAGGGAAAAAGTAGGGAGGTCACTGTTTCAGGATGCAGAGAGATTTGAGGTTAATAGTGTCGAATGGGAAGTGAATGAATCCAGGCACCAAGAAGGTAGAGCCTTCATTCCAAATACCTAGCTACAAGAGTGACAAACCGTACTTGGAAATGTGGTACAAATAATAATCATTGCTGGGAGATCCAGGAGCAAGAGATTCACGCAGGGGAGAGGAGGCGATGAGTAAAAAAAAAAAAAATACCTAGAGTCTAGAGTCAGACAGACCTAGCATCAGACCCTCACACCGCTTGTGTTTAGCTCACTGGTGAGGAGGTTGGTGTCTCTAGGCCTCACATGTAAAACGAAGATCATTCCCGGGCTGGGGTGAAAAACAAGTTAGCCACACAAGTATAGTGCTTCGTATAGAGTCCAGTACCTGGGGCCCTAAACAAACAGCAGGATTTCGTATGTGCTGATTTGGAGAATGACTTTAACCCCACCACGTTCTTACCGACGACGCCAACTGAGGAGATGGGCTGTGCCGTTGCTGTTTTCCAGGATGCTCCCGAGGGGGTTGACCACTTACTGGCATTCCTCTCCGCAAAGAAAACATATTGCAGGGCTCTAGCCTGCCCTGATTTCTGAAGGTACATGAACAGCTCCTCCTCCTTCTTGATGCCCACTTCATAGGGATACTGGACGGCAGCCTGGATTGCACGGACACAGGTCTCCTGAGAAAGGCACCCAGGATGCTGCTTCCGCATCTTCAGAAGGGCTTCACTGAAAATGCTGTCCATGTTGGGGAAGCTCTGAATTGGCTTGTTGCAGAGTCTACGGGATTCCAGAGGCTGATCTGGAAGGAAGGAGAAAGAAAATAGGACCTTTGGAAATGTTACTTATACAAAGGGAAAAGGAGTATGTAATAATAATAATAATAATAATAATAATAATAATAACAACCTGTTCCAATTCAAAGTACAAAATTAAATACTCTCCATCAAGCTATTTACTGTAGCACTAACATCAAAATATCTAATGTACCTTAGTCTGGTAAGATGGAATTTAGCAGATTCAATGCAATTTTCAAGTGACCTCATGTAGGCATAAAAGTTTCATTTTCCTTCTGTTCCAAAGTCAAGACAGTGCTATAATAGATTAAATTTTAAACTCTCAGTGAGTTTAAGGAAAATATTTCTGAGTTAAGAATGACCCTGCAACTGCACTACTGGGTATTTACCCCAAAGATACAGATGTAGTGAAAAGAAGGGCCATCTGTACCCCAATGTTCATAGCAGCAATGGCCATGCCAAACTATGGAAAGAACCAAGATGCCCTTCAACAGATGAATGGATAAAGAAGATATGGTCCATATATACTATGGAGTATTATGCCTCCATCGGAAAGGATGAATACCCAACTTTTGTATCAATATGGATGGGACTGGAGGAGATTATGCTGAGTGAAATAAGTCAAGCAGAGAGAGAGTCAATTATCATATGGTTTCACTTACTTGTGGAGCATAAGGAATAACATGCAGGACATGGGGAGATGGAGAGAAGAAGTGAGTTGGGGGAAATCGGAGGGGGAGACAAACCATGAGAGACTGTGGACTCTGAGAAACAAACTAAGGGTTTTGGAGGGGCAGGGGTGGGGAGTTGGGTGAGCTGGCGGTGGGTGTTATGGAGGGCATGTATTGCATGGAGCACTGGGTGTGGTGCATAAACAATGAATTATGGATCACTGAAAAAAATTAAATTAAATTGATTTTTTTTAAAAAGAATATTTTAGATTCAAAATAATCTCAATTCCATTCCTAATAGTAACAAATACTTATAAGACCTGGAAAAGAAGTCAGTGTCTCTTGGTACAAGAGGAGACATACAAATCAGTGGAAGAGAATTTAGAGTTCAGAAATAAATCCTGAGAGTTAGAGCCAACTGATTTTCAGCACAGGTGTCAAAACAATTCAATGCAAGGGGAATTTTTCCAGTAAATGGTGCTGAAATAACTGGATAGCTATATGCAAAAGAAAGAAAGAAAGAAAGAAATTAGATCCTTACCTAGAACCATATATAAAAAACCATATATAACTCAAGGTGGAACATAAATCTAAATTAAATTAAAATTAAAGAGCTAAAACTATAAAAATTTCTAGAAGAGAACACAGGGAAAATCTTCATGACTCTGGGTTAGACAAGTATTCTTAGTATGATTCATGAAAGAAAAAAATCAATAATCTGGAGGTCATCAAAATTCAAGACTTTGTACTTCAAAGAATAGTATCATGAAAATGAAATGATAAACCACAGACTGGGAGAAAATATTTATATGGTAGGCACGGTGTGCTGCACATGCCCAATGTCTACTTCCTGATCCCTAGAACCTATGAGTATATAACCTTACATGGCAAAGGGATTCTACAGATATAATTATTGGCAAAGAAACTGAGGTGTGGAGATTATCCTTTATTGTCTAGATGTTCCCAACATAATCGTATGAGTCCTTAAGAGGAGACCCTTTGCCAGTTATGGTGAAAGAGACATTGCTAATGAGGAAGGGTCAGAGAGACACAACATGGTGAAGATGTGACCTATTGGTGATGATACAGCTTTGATGATGGAAGAAGGGGGCCAAGAATCAAGGAATTCGGTGGTCTCTGGGCCATTCCCTTGACTTACAACCAGCAAGAACATGAGGACGTTGTTCCCACAACATAAGATACTGAATTGTGAAAAACAACCTGAGTGAGCAGGAAACAGATTCTCCCCTAGAGCCTCCAAAAGGAGTATGGCTTCAGACACCTGCATTTTAGGTCAGTGAGACCCACCCAGCAGACTTCTGACCTATTGATCTATAAGATAATAACACTGTGTCATTTAAACTGCTAACCTTGCAGTTATTTGTTAACAAAGCAAGAGAAAACCAATACAATTTGTAAATCAAATATCTAATGAAGTATTTGTATCTGGAGTATGGGAAGAATTCTTGTGACTCAACAGTAAGAAGGCAAACAACTCATTTTTTTAAATGGGCAAAAATTTGAGTGGCTATTTCACCAAAGAAGATATAGGAATGGCTAATACATATGTGAAAAGGTGTTCAATAGCATTAGTCATTAAAGAAATGCAAATAGAGGGGCGCGGTGCGGCAAGATGGCGGACAAAGAGAAGAAGAAGAAAGAGAGCATCTTGGACTTGTCTAAGTACATCGACAAGACGATCCCAGTGAAGTTTCAGGGAGGCCGCGAAGACCCCGACGACCAGTACAAGCTCACAGAGGGCACCCGCCAGCTGGACCTGGTGGTGTGCAGGGGCACCTCCGTGGTGCTCATCTGCCCGCAGGACGGCATGGAGGCCATCCCCAACCCCTTCATCCAGCAGCAGGACGCCTAGCGGGCGCCGTCGGCCGCCCGAGGACTCGGAGCTGCCCTCCCCTGCCGCGCGTGCCCCCGTGGGCCGGAGCTCTCCTTTTTATATCGGTTATGTTTCTGTTTTTCGCAATAAAACTGCAGACCCCCCCCCCCAAAAAAAAAAGAAAAAAAGAAATGCAAATAAAAACCACACTGATTAAAAAAAAAAAAACATAGTGAATGTGGTAGATTGTCTCTAAGTAATAGGGTGTCATTTCTGAGATTAAGTTACAAAAAGACTCTGGGTTCCTCTTGTTCACCCTCTCTTGTTCTCTCACTCGTTCATTCTGGTGGGAGCCAGCTGCCATGTGAGTGGCCCTTTGGTGAAGCCCACGTGGGAAAGAACTGAAGAAGACCTCCTTCAGCCAACAGCCAGTGAGGAGCTAAGACCCTCAGCCCAACAGACCACATGGAGCCGAATCCTACGAAAAACTTGAGTCAGGTTGGAAGCAAATCATCCCTTAGTCAAGCGTTGAGGTGGAAAGAGCCACAGAAAATACCTTGAAAGCAATCTTGTGTGGAATCCGCAACCAGAGAACCTAGTTCACCCCACCTATATTCCTGACCCACAGAGACTGCCAGGTAAAAGAGGTTTGATTTTAAGCAGTTAAATTTGGGAGTAACTTGTTGTGTAGCTAGAGATAATGAAGACACACCCACTAGAATGACTATTACCAGAAAGACATCACTAAGAGGTGTTGGTGATGATGTGGAGTAGCCAGAATCCTCAGCCATGGTTTGTGAAAATCTGAAACAGGACAGTATAGCTACTTTGGAAAACAGTGAGGCAGTTCCTTGAAAGGATAAGCTTATTGGTTAACCCAGCAATTTCACTCCAAGGAATCTACCTAAGAGAAATAAAGACACATGACCCCATAAACCTTGTACACAAATATCCATAACAGTATTATTCATACTAGCTCATCAACTGATGAAGGGATAAAGAAAATGCAGTATGGATATGCACAATACTGTTCAGCAATAAAAAATATTATTGGCAAATTGCTGAAGCATGCTACAATTCAAATGAACCTCAGAAACATTATGCAACCTGAAAAGAAGCCAGATCAGAAGATTATATATGATATGATGCTATTCGTGGTCAATGTCCAGAAAAGGCAAATCCATGTAGACAGAAAGATTAGTGGTTGGTTAAGGCCAGGGGTGGTAGTGGGATAAAGCTGCAACAAAATATGAGGGAAATTTTCAGGGTGGTGACAGGTCTTAAAATTGACTCATGGGGATGGCTGTGCAACTCTATACAGTGAACTGAATTATGCCTCATTAAAACTGTTTTTAAAAATGCCTAGAAACGAATTTATCAAGAAATGTATAAAACCTTTAAGAAGATAACTATACCATTTTATTGGAGAACATATAAAGTCTCTAAAAAGAGAGAGACTCCATGTTCCTGGATATAAACATTTCATAACATAAAAATATAAACATTTCCCATATATATTATATATGAATTTCTAATCAGAACACTCTATAATTTAAAAAAATTTCTCAACAGGAGTGCCTGGCTGCTCAGTTGGTAGAACACGTGACTCTTGATCTCAGGGTCGTAAGTTCGAGCCCAACATCGGGGTGGAGCCTACTTAAAAAAATAATAGTAATAAAAGTAAAAATAACTCAACAGAAGGATTCTTTTTTTTCAACAGAATGATGATTCTAAGGTTTGCATCAAAGGATAAATGTGTATGAGAAATGTATCAAATAAGACATGATGTTAAACTTTCTTCAGAATATACTTAGATAAAATTCCTAAAAATCTGTTATGGCCTGGTGTAATGTTATCAGTCATAATTTTAAGATGTATGTCACAGAAATAACCAAATTCTCTTGTCAACTGCAATATAATAAACTCTCTTGTCAGTTGCATTATAATAAATGCATTATCAGATCTTCAAATAAAAAGAATGAACGTGGAACATTATGTTACCACAACTGCTGTCTACCTAAGCCAGAAACTGTTTCTTTTTAAAATATTATTTATTTATTTGACAGAGAGAGAGAGAAACCACAAGCAGGCAGAGAGAGAGTGGGAAGCAGGCTCCCTGCTGAGCAGAGAGCCGGATGTGTGGTTCGATCCCAGGACCCTGAGATCATGACCTGAGCCAAAGGCAGAGGCTTAACCCACTGAGCCACCCAGGTGTCCCAGAAACTGTTTTTTTTTTTTAAGTGCTACCATCTCTTCAAGAATACACCATTACATCAAAAATGTACACCTCAGTTAATTGGACAGAAAACCCACCAGAGGATATAAAGTCGTTTCAGTATAAAAAGGCATGTGCACATGAACCTGTCTGGCATTCGTGTGTTATCACATATGTAAGGGAGACTGAGTAAGGTTTGGATTGAATCACGTATACATGTAAATTTACCTTTGAGGCACTGCATAATCTCAAACTTTTTAAAAAAAATATTTTATTTATTTATTTGACAGACAGAGATCACAGGTAGGCAGAGAGGCAGGCAGAGAGAGAGGAAGGGAACCAGGCTCCCTGCTGAGCAGAGAGCCTGATGCAGGGCTTGATACCAGGACCCTGGGACCATGAGCTGAGCTGAAGGCAGAGGCTTTAACCCACTGAGCCACCCAGACGCCCTCAAACTTTTTTTTAACCTAGGAGGCAACAATATTTCCTTAATGCCTGATGACTAAGTAGAATAAAAAATCATGGATTTTTAAAAATTAACGCTTTCCCATATGATGTTGAGAACAGGAAAGGAGGGGAACACAATGGTTAGCTATACGGTCCCCGTTTGCCCTGCTATAGTTGGAAAGATACGAACTCTACCCAACAGGTTTCCAGTGACTGGCTCAGTTATCCACTGTGTTAGCCCGATCCTCAGTTTCTAGGAAGGCAAGTTCAGCAGAGAAGGATCGAGACCTTCCCAGGGCCTACAGCTGATTTAATTTCCTGGTGGTCCAAAAGGGAAGACAAGAGTGGTCAGTGGGGGGCTGAGGTGAGAGGGAACAAGTATGTGGAGGACAAAGTGCATGAGGAAAGGGGACTGAAGCACCAGTACTGCGGCATGAGCAGGCAGCTGGGGCAGTCTGTGCAGGGACAGGGCACAACTTAGAGCTGGGTGACTGTCCTTGGGACACTACCAGAATTCCCATCTGGTTAGGACAGATTCCCAACATCAGAGTTATCCAAGGAATTCAAAAAGTTCAGATGCACGGGCCCCACTGTAGACCCCGCTCAGGATATTTCAGGGTGGGGCCTACACACGAGTATTTTTAAGACTTCAACACGCGATTTTGAGACGTAGCTTCTGGAAAGTGTAAGAGCAGAGCATTAGGTCAGCGCTTGAGTCGAGGACAGCTGCAGCTCCTGGCAAACTTCATCCTGAGCCAAACACAGAAGAGGGAAGAAAGAAAAAAAGAGAGAGAGAGAAAAGAAAAAAGGAAAGCCTGCTTAATGGTGTGCAGTAATAATTACTGCAGTAATTATTGCTGATCAGGATAATGCTTTTATCCTGGGGATACTCAGAATCTCTCGGACTGCAGGGCATTCTGGGAACTCCTCATGGCACCTGTCCAGACCAGTCCAGGGCCAAGCTGAGCCCATCCGCTGGAGAGCTGGGATCCGGGCGCAAATACAGATGCTTCTTCCCTGCTCAATTTCCTCTCTCTTTCCTGCCGAAGCTATAAAGGATGCTATTACCTTACAAATCTGTTCTATTAGAACAAAATATATTCAGAATTTCCCCTTTGGGTCTACAGGTATTGTGTTTTCAATGTGTGTTTCTTACACACTGGGTTGTTTTAACGTCTTGGTGGTTTTAAATTCACTCAGCTGTATCCACATAATAAGAGAGCCAGGTATAGGCAGGTCAGCACCAGTGTTTGCTGCCCACGAAAATGAAAAGAAGAACTAATTAGTGATTCAAGTATGCTTACAAATGAATTCTTTCCTTGACCCATTCACATTCTTTTCTTTAATTCTTTGAGGTATTGTAAGGCAGGCAAATATTCAAGTTTTGATTAAAAAAAAAAAGAAATAAGTGAATCACCCTCCTAAAGGAAGAAAAGGAGGTGATTATTTTCCCACTTTCTGGGAAACTGACAGGAAAAGATTTTCTCTGCCTAGTTTAAAGAGAGGCACAACATGCAATTTACAGAAATGGTTACCTAAGACATGGAGGACGGTCTCTTCTCCAATTCTGATAAACAGTAAGTAAACTGTGTTTGTCACAGAAGCTCTGCAAAGGACAGACAGGACAACTGTACTTTTTCAGTCTTGCAGGAGGTCACCCACAGAACTCGGGTATTACAAAAAAAGGCAGCTCAATTTAGACATGCGCTTAGGCCTTCTCTGGGAGGCAAGGTCACTCTGTTCTTGTGAAATGTGTGTATAAAGGTTCACAGAGAGCAAAAATAAATTATAAAAAGCCAAAGATAAAATGGAAAGAAAGACGATGATACCATTAAGATTTGTTTAAAGTCACAAAATCAAAATGAACACACAGACCAAAGTCTGTAGGCAGAATTAGAATCACTAAAAATGGCTAACACTGTGCCGTAAGAGTAACAGACCTGGTGTTCATTACAGGGACAAAAACGGCATTAGGTTCTGAGTCAAGGCCCCCAGCTGGATGTCTCTTGTGCCCCTCTTTGGATAACAGCACACGCTTTCAACTTCATGCCAGGAACATGCACGTGGGAATAGGGAGTTCTTACTCAGTTTGGGAATAAACAGGCTGCTGGCCAAATTCAAGTGCAAATAAATAGCATTTTACGGAACCCTCTCCTCCCCAGTTTAGCCAAAGCAATCTGGTTTGACCAAGTAATTCTAAATTGCTCTGCTAAATCCATTGCATTGCAGTAGTCTGAGGAGCTTCATATAACAAGAGCGTTAAGATGCATGACACTAACTTTCACAGTCAACTTTCCTCTCTGGGATGCATGTTAAATTGTAGAGAAATCGGCATCTACTTCCCAAATCTTCCCATGAATACATATACATGATATATATTATGTGGGGTTTGAAATCATAACCCTGAAACCAAGACTTGAGCTGAGATCAAGAGTTGGATGCTCAACGGACTGAACCACCCAGATGCCCCCCAAGTCATATTTTTAGATACATGCTAACTT